TCTTATATAAGACTTATAACAACGAGCCAAGGACATCGGTGTTATTGAACCTGTTCCAAAAACTCTCAAATACAACTTTACTGACACACAGATGTATGACAAAATGCTACATCCACCCACCAAATTTCGGTCTTCTTTGAAGACTTTCTCTACTTTCTTTATGTGGTCGAAGGGTAGTGAGTCAGTTAAAAACTCCAGCCTTCACATTTAACTAAAGTTGAACTAATAACTCTCACCCATACATGTGTTATCAAAGCATTGCTGTTGTTTTTGCTCTGAAATATGTGAATTTAGAAGTCAGCCACTTAAGTTTTAATATATTAAATAACAGCAGAAACTCATCTTCACAGCGTGTGCATTGTGTGTTATTATAGATGGGGCCTTCTCAGCTCTTGTGCGCTAGCTGGCTTAGCCATTGAAGTTGTCCTTTCTCACAGGGTAATGCACTTTTCACAGAATCACGGTGATTCCTTCAATCATTCACACAGTCAGGGGGAACAAAGCCTAAGCTTTAGATAACAAACTTGGCTTGTAGAGCACAGCTTCCTGCCAGTCTGAGATCTGGTCCTGTGGGCATTATTTGGTGTTAAAGGTGTTTTTCCCACAAATTTCAGCCAGTTGGAGTCTTTAAAAAAATCACTTGAATTGTTGTTTGACTGTAAGCTATCCTCAGTATGTCCTGAACACTGACACATAAATTATAAGCAATCAGACTGTAGGCCTCTGTGGCCCAGACAATGAGTCTGTCTCTTATTACATCTTTGTGCACACCTAGCCAATGATTGGAAGTCAGGATACTAACATTTCATGGAGGTTTTAAGCCTTTATTTTCATCTGAAAGTTGCTTTCTTACTCAACACTGTCTTACTCACTTTCATTCTTAACTGCTGTCAACACATTTCCAAGAAAAACACACGGCCCGTTGCTTCACAGTCATCCTCTCATCACTACAACTGGGTGAGAAACAGTTTGCAAAGAACATACTGCTCCTCAGTGGCCATTCTTTGCCATCCAGACACGCCAGATGTCAGATTAATGTTATTACTGCACTTGTCGTTCCACGTGCGTTACCCTTTCATGATCTAAGAGGTTTCTTCTTCGTTGATTTGCGACTTGGGGAGAAAGCAAATAAACCCGCAGAGGAGGGAGGTCACATCAAAGCCCCAGTGGCTCCCCCCACAGCTGTAGAGACGAACCCCAGTGGCTTCCTCCACAGCTGTAGAGACGAACCCTGTACCTCTCCTCCGCTAATGTGCCCTAGTTTAACTGCTGTTCTAATGAAAAGAGGTAATCTGGGAAGG